GACATACTCCTGCAGTTTGCTGCTGCATAAGAGAGAGAAAAACTTCTGCTGCAGCCATCAATATAAAAAAATAAACATAAACATAAACATAAACATAAACATAAACACAAAAACAAAAACAAAATAAATAAATATAAATATAAATATAAATATAAATAAATAAAGACTAACTCCTGCAGTTTGCTGCTGCATAAGAGAGAGAAAAACTTCTGCTGCTGCTTCTTCTCTGGGTATGAGTTGCTGCCCCACCCAGCAGCTGAGGTGTATAGACACTGCAGCACGGGGGTCGTTGGGGTCGTTGGCTTGTCGTATCCAGACGTCACACTTTTTATAGCATGGATGGTGTGGGGGGAACCGCAGCAGCTTGTGTTGCTGCTGTGCTGCTGCTGCTGCTGCTGCTGATGATAATGATAGGCTTTGTAGCTCCTCTCTATTCCTCCTACTCATGTTGCTGCTGCTGCTGCTGCTGCTGCTGCTGTTGCTGCTGCTGTTGCTGCTGCTGCTGCTGCTGCTGCTGCTGTTGCTGCTGCTGCTGCTGCTGCTGTTTCTGTTCAGTATAGCGCCCATCATCATCGGATTACTACCACTACCAAACCCACCAAAACCACCACCACCACCACCACTGCTGCTGCTGCTGCTGCTGCTGCTGCTGCTGCTGCTGCTGCTGCTGCTGCTGTCGGGGTGTATATGCAGCTGCGGGCGCCCAGGGATACCCAAGGCCTCAAAAGAAGATAAAGGAAACTCAGTTAGTATGCGGGGGCTAGCACAGGGGAGAGGAGAGTTGGGTGCTGAAGCAAAGTTGCTGCTGCTGCTGCTGCTGCTGCTGCTGCTGCTGCTGCTGTTGCTGCTCATGCTGCTGATGCTGCTGCTTATACCCATGCTGCTGCTCCAAATGCTGCTGCTCATACCCATATTCATACTGCTGCTGCTGCTGCTGCTGCTGCTGCTGCTGAGTGGTGCTGCTGCTGCCTCCTCCACCCAACGCAGCTGTAGCTGCTGCTTGCTGCTGCTGCTGCTGCTGCTGCTGCTGCTGCTGCTCCAAGCAGCAAAACGATTGGGCCTGGGAGGAGACAACCCCCAACGCGCCAGCAGCAGCAGCAGCGCCTCCTGTCTCCTTTTGAATGCATTTATCCATCTCTGCAGCAGCTGCTGCAGCAATACATCCTGCTGCTGCTGCTGCTGCTGCTGCCGCTGCTGCCGCCGCTGCTGCCGCTGCTGTCGCTGCTGCCGCTGCTGCTGCTGGTGCTGCTGCTGCTGCTGCTGCAGCAGCTGGCCCCCCCATCGAGCTAGGGTTTGGGGTTGTAAAGAAGAACAAAGATGATCTATAGAAGGAGACTGCAGCACGAGGTGCAGCAGCAACGGAGACAGATGCTGCAGCAGCTCAACAGATACTGCAGCAGCAGCAGCAAGCGAAGCATCACCAGATATACCCAAAGAAGAACCATGCGCAGCATCTACACACAACACACACACACCACACCTGATGCTGCTGCTGCTGCTGCTGCTGCTGCTGCTGCTGGTGTTGCTGTTGCAGTTGGTGTTGCTGGTGGTGGTGGTGGTGCTGCTGCTGCTGTGGTTGCTGTTGGGCAGCAACCCCAGCAACAACCCCACCACCAACCACAACAACAGCAGCAGCAGCAGCAGCAGCACCAACAACAACAACAGCAGCAGCAGCAGCAACAGCACCAGCAGCAGCAACAACAACAACAACAACAACAGCAGCAGAAAACCTGTTGCAGTATCAGCAGCAGCAGCAGCAGCAGCAGCAGCGACAGCAGCAGCAGCAGCAGTAAACCTGTTGCAATATCAGCAGCAGCAGCAGCAGCAACAGCAGCAGCAGCAAACCTGTAGCAATATCAGCAGCAGCAGCAGCAGCAGCAGCAGCAGCAGCAGCAGCAAACCTGTAGCAACATCAGCAGCAGCTTGTAGTATATCCTGGGGAAAGAAGAAGATATGGCGATAGGCTGCAAGCTGCTGCTGCTCGCGGCGGAACCACGCACCAGGGGGGTTTTCTATCAACGCTCTAAACACAAACCCTAAACCCTAAACCCTAAACCCTAAACCCTAAACCCTAAACCCTGAACCCTAAACACGAAACACTAAACACTAGGGGCAAGGGACAGAGGCATACAACGGAAAAAAAAAATCGTAAAAAGGATAAACGTAAACCCTAAACCCTAAACCCTAAACCCTAAACCCTAAACCCTAATTATTTTTAGGGATTGAGAGAGGAGATGAGGAGACAGCAGATGGAGACAAATAAATAAATAAATATATAAATAAATAAATAAATAAATAAACAAATAGATAAATAAACAAATAAATAAATAAATAAACAAATAAATAAATAAATAAACAAATAAATAAATAAATAAACAAATAAATAAACAAATAAATAAATAAACAAATAAATAAATAAATAAACAAACAAATAAATAAACAAACAAATAAAAAAAAAAAAAAAAAAAAAAAAAAAAAAAAAAAAAAAAAAAAAAAAA